GAGCACAACTTTCCTTTCCAACCGTAGCCTAGCCCCGCTAACTTTGAGCAAAGATCGAGCTGGAGTCCTCTCTCTCCCTATCTGAAAACGAAAGTTCCATTGCTTTAGTCGTGCCTATCTTTAGATCCGTCTTGAACCCTATCGCTTCTAAACTATGCTCTTCCCTAGGTTCTACCCCAACCCTACCTTGATTACTAAACCCTATTTCTATTGTATTCTTTCCAAGCCAAGCCTGTCACTCGGTCCCCTTGCTTCAAAGGTACATGAATTGGTTTCCTTTATTCTTCGACCAGTGGTCGAGCTACCACATGGAGTCACGAGATAGCTTAACGCCCAGAGGCACCTTTACCTGACTAGGGTCTAGCATGGTTAGTTGCGTTGCGTGTACTTTCGACATGATATATTAACGTATTCAGTCAGTTCTCATCGCATGTGGAATCGTACTCTTCTATTGATCTATCTCCCGTCCTTCTCTCCTACTAAAGCCAAAGAGAAAGAGTTCCCATCGTATCGCCTATTCTGCTATCTGTATTCGGCTCATTGGGCACCGAAAGGCCTATATGAGACTTGGTCTTAGAAGTGCATCCTTTACTGCCATTCCTATAGTACCTATTTCAAAGGCTTATCTTAAGCTATCAAGACATATTTCATTTAAAGTATTGATTGAATCTTAAGAATTCAATCCGATGTAAGGTAGACGAACCAGTCTTCAAGCGATTCCTTTCCTATATTAGATGTCAGCCAGGTAGCCTTACATATGAGACTGAGCCTAGCGAATAAAGGCGCACTTGGGGTAGGGAGTAGAGAAGGGTCAATGTGAATTGAGTCTCAGGTGAGCTGCTAGCTTTGATTCCAAGTTAGGCTTATCCTGCTGAAAAAGGAGCTTGGGATAGACATGCGTCATTGGACGACTCAGTGCATGGATCTCCTTCTTTTGACGAAGTGAGCTGCAAGGACGAATTCCAATGGTGGTAGTTTTTTTTTAGAGCCCCACCCTATCACGAGAGTAGCAAGCAAGGGGAGAGGGCTAACTCGAAATTGCATAAGAGAAGAGCTTCGGGTTCAGAAGTACTATGTCTGGTTCACTAGGTTAAAGAAGGGAAGAATCATGGTCGAGCTATATGCTTAACACATGCAAGTAGGACCTTCTTTTCGCCGAGAGAAGATGCGGGGTAGCTCAACAGGACTGAAAATCCTTCTTGCTTCGAATCCACTGAAATTAAAGATTTTTAGCCTGTGCTAGAGAATAGACTGTCGAAGCGGTGGAAGACTGTTAGCAAGAAGGTTTTGAGTTGAGGTTTGAAGGCAAAAGGCAAAGCTCTAATCTAGGAATCAGTAAGGGAGTTCACATCTGGAAATCAATCATCTCTTTCTCTTCCCTGAGAAGGGCTTATGTAGACAAGACTAGCTGCTTCTTCTTTGCCTAGCCTTGATTGTTGTAGGATGGAATGCTTATCCATTCGCTTTCCAGTTTAGCGGTGCAAGCTTTCTTTCCATTCCCTCTTAGTGTTTTAGGTTAGAAGGTGTTCCATCTGTCGGCTAAAGGGACATTGCTTTTTCCGCTTTCAAGTCATCCGATTCGGTCTCTTCTAAGTGGTCCATTGGGGTAAGCGCGGGAGCAGCAATCCATTCCGTCGCTCTATTCAAGCCTAAACCTTACTTACTCCTAGTAGGCCAATCATTCCTTAGGAGAGGAAGCAGAAGCTAACTAAACAGGAACTCGAGACAGAGGAGTTTAAAGAGAACAGCTTCCCTAATCTAATAAGGAGAGAAGCCTTGACGCAGCAGTCAACTACTTTGGTTTCGGAAAGTAGCTAAGGTTTGGAACACTCGGCATCATAAGCCGTAGTTAGGATCGGAGTGAAAAACAGCTTTCCAAAGATCTGGCGTTTAGTTGTTGACTAATACGGATATTCCCTAAACAAGGAAAGCTAGAGCAGCAAGGAATGCAGGAAAGCTTGTCCCGGGTAGGGCAAGGAAAGCTGGAAACCTATGATCATTCTGCCTAGCTTAGCTCCCTGAAAGCTGAGAGCAGTTCAATCCGATGTTTGCATTTCTATTATATGAAAAAAGCAATCTTTGCATTATAGACTGTATCGAGTCGACGCATGCAGTGGCGCGAATCACCTGGTCACCGATCTTCAAGGTGACGGGAACATTCCATCTCTGATAGATGTGAAAGGGGGCTAAAGGTGGGGAAGGAGGGACGTAGGATTTATTCTGGAGGGCAGCGAGCTCAAACTCTCCACTAGCACTCTAACCAATGCTTTTAACTGCTTTCGGGAACAGATTGCTGGAGGATTTAGTCGTAGCAAGAACAGTAGCCTGCCTGGCTCTACTAGTCAAGTAGAAAGAAAAGTCAAAGTTGGAATAGACAGACCGCAAGTCAACAAGGATTTCATCACCGCTGCTGGTCTTCCCACTTGCAACTGGTATCTAAGACAAGAGAGTGTTCTTTTCCATTCTCCAAGGGTTATAAGTTCCTTATGTTAAAGAAGCAGCTAGTTCATCGGCATCTGTTGTCGTTGAATGAATAAGCGAAAAGGGCGAACTCCTGATATAAGGAAGCTCCCATAGAGCTGGATCGGACACCTGAGGTCCTTAGGCGGGAGAGATCAATTCGTGATAGGCCTTCAAGATGAAGCTCCATGCTGTATTGAGAGGTTGGGGGTGTAAAGGCCCCCTCATTGTGGCTAAAGGGATAGATACTGTATGTGTAGCAGGCGTGTGTGATTGAGTTCAAAAGGTAATTGGGTTGATCCCGACTGATAGTCTCGATGGAGCAGAGGCCAAAGCTAGGATGGAGATGATTCAGAGACAGTTGGAACCCTACAATTTCATTCTGCGATTGAGTTTCTAGGCCAAGGTCCTCGGTGGTCTGTCGCCCTCCCTTGAAATGAGACAGCCTTTCGAAGAACCATCCGTTGATGCCTACTGTAGGGTACAACAAAGAGTAGAGCTAGCTATCCAGATAGCTGATCTTGGGCCATATACCGAGCCGCTGACTTAAACGAGCACTAGACCGCTCACTAATATATGGATTGACGAAAGAAGACAAACCCTAGACACACTGATTGTAAGTTAGTCTTCCGCCAACTATTGATGTTCACTCTTTTTTCCAAAAATGGAAATTCCATAGAACTCCTTCATAATTCTACACTGGCATCAACAACCACAAGGGCTTTTTGACCCTTCCTTTGTTACCGGGCATTCATACATTCTTCCGCTACCAGCAAATGTCGATATCGGCAGTCTACCTTATTAAGGAAATCGAGCTAACAAGAGGTTTGTTTTAACCCTTATTTAAGATGCCTTTCTCCTACCCTTGCTTATAGACAGTGAGTGAGCGGAGAAAGAGCTTAGAGCCGATGCAAGACTGATAGGCTTCAGTTTCAGTCTGTTCCGCGTGAGCTCCAAGGGAAGCTGAATGTCATTCTGACAAGGAAGTACGCCACCAAGGCCGGAGTCACTAGGATATAGAAGGTAAGCCCTACACTCAAGGGTTGGGAAAGATGAGATTCCCTCTCCTCTCGCTGATGGTTTGAGAGTTGGTTGGCGAGACCCCGGAACGATGTATGAAAGAGACTAGCTATCGAAGTGGATGCTGCTTCTTATGAAAAAGCCCTCGATGCTGTGTGAAAGAGTGGCGGGGAATGACTGGGCTCAGGAGTCAAGTCAACATAGTGTGGAAAGTGGGGTCGACCTTCTAGTCCCTTGTAGGGAAAGAGAGGTTATCTAGGCAGATAGAGAAGGAAGTGCCAATAAACGATCGAGAAAGATCTGGCTCCTCAAGCCCTTCGCTTAAAAGAACAGGTGGACAAACGAACAAGCTACTATGAAAATAATTCGCGAAAGTCATTTCATTAGTTCAATTACTGCTCTAGAGTCCCGATATGAGCTTATTTGCCAGTCATAGTTAATTTATTTTAGATTTCGGCTCGCTAACGACCTCGGTATCCGATGTTACTTATAGTAGTAGTATCGAACGGATGAAAGAGATTGCTCCTCCAGCACTAAGGTTTTTTGATGATCTTTCGTCTATTCTCAAGGGCTAACAAAAATCTTAGTGGTCGGCTACAACCCATCTGCTTCGGCACATGAATCTAACTCTCGAAATGCCCTTTCTTTTGAATATCTTTCGATTCCCATTGACTTAGGCAAAGAGACCCCGCTCTATTGAATGAATCTGACTAGTTCTTCTCCGAGTATCTCTTCTTCACCGTTATTAATTAACTACTTGAATCAGCCCACGTAGCGGTATTAACTAAAGCATTTTAGAAACCGTGCTTTCGATGGCAAGGCCAGAACAACCAAGGGACAGGATTGATTTTCCAAGTTAGACTGCTGCTCGACCGGATATTTCACATGCTCCAATACATCATGATCAGTTCTTCGTTTAAGCCTTCTTCTTGAATATTCCTTTTCAAGTGCCCAGCCCTCATTTCACAGTTGACAGCAACTTGCGAGCCCTTTTTTAAGCTTTTGAGGAAAAATAAGGGATGACGATTGTCATCAAGCTTTCGATAAGATAAAACAGTATCTGCAGAATCCTCCAATCCGAGCACCTTTGGTAAAGAAAGGCAGCCTATATACTTTACAGCGTAACTGGAAAAGACTCTTAACGGAGTCGCATCCGAGTCTTCCATCATTCAGCTCTCAGGATAACGAGGTAAGCGTTGCCTTGTCTCGTTAAAATAATGAATTGAATTCTGTTGCCATACCAAGAAGTCAAATTCTAACTAAGAGCGTCGTATTCTAGCAACCATCATTAATCTCAGGAAGCAGATTCGAGAATCACTTTCTTGTAGCTTAACTACCAAGCCAGCTGCCTTGCTGCTTTAGATGGAAAAAGAATCCTGATGGTGTGCCTTTCGAGGTGTAGTGTATTACAGATTCCACTTTTAACATTAAGGGAAGGCGCTGACTAGCCCTGCTCAACGCCCTACACCCTTCTCTTGAGCGCTTCATTGAGCATTTCTCTTTCCTATCCCGTCCTTACGCTACGCTATCCATAAGGTTGACCTAGCCCTCTCTTCTCTCTCTTTGTCCACGCGAAGATTCCATTCCTTTCCTAGCCTATTCAATGTGGTCATGTAATAGAATGAAATGGGAAGACCTACTAGTTGGACCCAGACTGCGATGGTAGTGAATGTGGCCTCAGCTCCCACAAATGCAGGCTCAAAAAGCCTTAGACTGAGATAGTACCACAAAGCAGGGGTTAACATAAATGACTCTATGGAAGTCCTCTCCCACTTGAAAGCTAAATAAGGAGAAGACCAAAATCAATGCATTCCATTCTTAGCAGAGGTTCCTTCCATCTAATCCCTCGAAGTACTTCGCTCACCTTCGAAGAGTGAAATTCTCATTCAAAGCAGACTAAAGGCATAGGGCAAAGGAGCTTAGAAGGGTGACGGAGGGAAGTAGTAAGGTATGAAAGAACTTAGATAGAAGCATGTTGGATGACGGAACGATGACTTAATGCAACAATTATGTTATGGATTTTTTACCTTGAGAAATGACGTAAGTGATAGATGAAATCGTTCAGTAGGCTAATCTTGACAGTTGACATTTTCGATTGAGAAAGCGGCAGGCCAGCTCTACAGTAGTGCCTTGAGAGGTCGTAGAGCCGGTAACCCTCGTTCGCCTAAGATCTAAAATGCTCTCTTTGTGATTGAGAATGAAGACTCTGTAACGCTATATATATGCTTAACACATGCAAGTCGTACTATGTTTTCGATCAGATTTTCAGGGTAAGAATAAGAAGCGGGGTAGAGTAATGGTTAACTTATCAGGCTCATAATCTGAAGACTGCAGGTTCGAATCCTGTCCCCGCCTGACTGATGAAATTCTATATCCACCTTTCTATTCCTGCCATAAGTGTTCGACCCCTTCTAGTCTAAACCCTACCTCTGAGGGAGCGGAATCTGCTGATGAGTTCGTCGGGGATGATAGGCTTATCGTGGATGATCTAGTATCCAAGTTCCCGTCCTTGGGTATTATCTACCTCGGGGAGAAAGAGGCAAGCAATAGGAATAGTTGTCCCAGCCTTAGTTCTGATGAAATGATTCTATTTATCCGGCTGTAGGGTAGAAAAGTGGAGGAACGGATGTTACCTTTCCATCGGACCTCTCCATGATCATAAGCCCCAATTGAAAGCGTGAAGCCATCATTGGGCATAGTAGTGCAGGAACAAAATCCCCCGGGTTGATCATCCGCTACGAATAGTTTTCCCTCTTCTGCTTTATCACGTGATTAGGAGTGAGATTGCCTCCCCGTGACCAGTGCCTGTCATCCCATCCCTTTGTCGAAGTCCACCCCCTCCTCCTCTGGGATTGAATATCCATCCCTTGCCGAAGTATCAGCGCCGGAAGAGAAGAAAGAAATAGGATATGGGTGAGCAGTGGGGGAAAAGAGGATGAATCTCATGCTTCGCTAACCATTTCCGCACATTGATCTATTAGTGGACAATAGAGTTTACAGCATGCTGTCTTTTATGGATGACTTCTCCGCTTAGAATCAAATGTTGATGGCGGAGGAGGACAGAGAAAGGACATCATGAATAACTCCATGGGGCACGTTCTGCTACCGGGTCATGGCCTTTGGACTTCAAAATGCCGGAGCAAGATATCAAAGCAAAGGGTGCTGACCGCTTTCTTCCACGACCAACGTCCCTGATTCGAAGAGGTAGCTTAAAGTTTTTGCTGGGGCCTAAGGTAAAGACTCTCTGGATGTCAAATCAGTTTCGAAGGACTGATGTAATCGGATTTAAAAGCACAAACTGATAACAGATTCCCCAGCCACAGATTTTGAAAAGGAAGGCGCTTCGACAGAAACTCAAGAAGGAAGAAGGAGCGGTACGTACTTCTAAAAAGAATATATCTCAGATGTGAAGGGCGGCATAGACAAGAGAAAGAATCTCCAAAATGGCATTCTTCGAACAGTGTAGCGCTTAGGTCGTTTGGGAAAGAGATTTGAGTGAGCCGGTAAGCCCTTCCTAACAAGGTGTTGAGAAAGATATAGAATCAACTGCAAACATAGCATCGGTAGAGCCATCATCTGGAATTCCTAGTCTTTTCTTTATTTGTTGATATTGGCCCGGGTAGTAAATGCCTGAATCTATACCTGAAAGGTACCATCTAGTTAGGAGATTACGTTCGTTAGCTTTTGGAATTGATGAAATTGGTTGAATCAGCAATTTTTGAATCGAGCTGGAGTGGCATTTATATATAGATAGGAAGCAGTCTTGTAACTGTGAATTGGTCCTACTATAAGGTTCAGAAAGAAGCCCCACTCCTTGGGTTCGTAAGAAGCGGATGAAGACGGGCATGTAGTGTGGGGTACGTTCCAGTCACCCCTTACTTTCAACTTTCAGGATCAAAGCTCCAGTCATCGAGGTGGGAGATTATGGATCAGCTAGCTATAGAATAGAAAGAACAAGGGAACTCATCGACCCATCCAACAGTTGGAGATATAACTAACTGACTCCAATATCCGATATGACAGAAAGAGAAAGAGTCGTGAATGTAGGTGGGACGGTACGGATTCATACAAGACCTTGCCCACACGCTCTGGCGAGATAGGATCGATTACATCTAGAAATAGAACCTTGGAAATGCTATCTATTGACTCGACTCACTCAAAGCCAGGTCTGGTCTTAAGCCGGACAAGAGATTCTGACTGGGCTAGGCGTCATACTAAGTTTACCCGCACATTAGTGAAAGTGGAACTAGACTTTGATCTCTTTTCAGATCATATAAGATACCTTTCTATATCCTCTAACCCAATCCAATTTAGACACAAAGGATGCCAGCCACTTATATTATAGGCTTTCTTGGTAAGCTAATCCTCATACTCAGGTGCCCTAGAAGGGGAAAACCTTAAATTCTCGGATCAAGAAGAAGTCGTCTTACGTTCTATCAATAAACAACCAAAACGACCAGGAGGATAGAAAGCAGTAGTGGTGCCATTACCTTTTCCTTTAGAATCTCCACTCAGGGCAGGCTTCTCTCATTGGAACGATCCGATCACCCTATTCTCAAGCTCCTTAAATGAGGAATCCCCCAAAAGGGATTCAGAATAAGTTGATAGCGGTCCTTATAACTCACTCTTCGGGTTCAGCTAGTCGGGAACAACCAAGAAGAATAGGTATTGATGAGCACCTTTAGCGAGAAGCTTGATAGCCCCTTGTTAGACCTGAGTCTATAGCTTTGGCAGCAACTGATCTATCTCTTTATGGTTTCCTCGGATCAGCTAGCTGAACTGGGCTTGGAGCACACACGTACCCCTCTTAGGATAGGATGCATGTCCCGAAAGACAGATAGGCTCTTTGATCAGTCCTATAGCCCATCTTCGTCTCAGTGAAACTAGGTCAGGAGAGAACGGCTATTCCTTTTTTCACCCAAGGTAACATAACATTACAGGCGAACAACCGCTTCTCAATTGGTTCAAACCCAGTCCTCCAATCAATCCCATTCAGGGTTGAGCATATTGGATTGGAAAAGACTTGACCCTCGTTACAAGAGTGAATTGCCTTGAGTTCATACTCGGAATCTACAAGGCAGTTTGCTTTGCCTTTCTTTGTTTCTGGCAAGAGGAATTCCACTTTACACCTTTAAAAGAGTTCTTTCATCGTCCGGTTCTCTAAACTCGAAATAGGAGGGAAATGTAATCGGCAACGAAGTAGCCTCGACGTCGGAAGAGGTTACCTCTAAGCTTGCTGTCCGAGTACGAGTAAGTAAAGGAGTAGACCTTGTTGCTATCACGGTTTTCCCGATGAGAATGCTAATGGGAAGGCCCATACTGTCCATAGCTTGGAGAACAAGCTGTAACCTTTGAGCTAAGCTCTTTCCTGGGCTTCGAGGAGCTTCAGGTGTATGGGTTCCTGAAGCGGTGGGAATTCCTGTTCAAATACCTTTTATTACCAAGGGCAATGTCCGGCTTCCGACCTGGCTTTAAGCCTTTCCTTTTTAATGGGCCTTCTTAGTTCCCGTGCAAAGTAGTAGTTGATTAGCTGTCTTCGTTCATCGAGTAGGCGAATGTAAGGAAGTTTGCCTGAGTACGAGTAGAGGATTGGTTTATAGAGTGAGAAACCTCTCTCTCCTCTCTGGTTGTGGGAAAAGCTCGTTAACTGACTTCAACCTCTCACACACACCTGAGTAGCGATCTAGACTTTTTTATTTCATTCATTGCCCGAACTAGGTGCTGCATAGTGTCAGCTTTGTCTTTCTATCTTATTTATGAACAAGAAGGTCTTGGATCTTTGACTCGAAAAAAGAGTCCTGGAGTGTCCATATGAACCCCGTAACTGGAGTCATTCAAGAAATTAATGCGTGGGGGAATAGATGCAAAGAAAGATTCCTCGCGCTAAGGAAATAAGAGAGAGCCAGCATGAGTAGCTTCAGCTGCTTTTCCTCCGGCTTAAACTTCCCTTTCATTACCAGCCAACTCTCGTGCTAAACTAAAGAAAAAAGACGAACAAGAAAGGCATCAAGGCGAGGAAAAGTCTCAAGCAAAGAATCTTTTAAAGCAAAGTGTTAAAGTAAAGGCCGCTTACCTTACCACCGGGTTCTAGACCCCTTTCATAGTAATCCAAAGAGGAAACAGCTTAGTCATTACAGTCTTCGAATATGGGCCCTGCAGCAGGAAAAGAAAGAAGACTAGTAGCGGAGGAGGAAACGAGTTAATGGCCGGCCTCGCTCATCGTGATAGCGCTCCCGAGTTGATTCCCCGAGAGGAAAACCATTCTTAAGAAAGGCTTTTCATTCCGCACATCCGAAATAGGTTGTGCGGCAAGACGTGATATGCTCTCCATCGCTCAGATGACACCTGAGTTGCTTAACTACACCGAAGATGCTTTCTTTATACTAGTTCGGGGCTCCGTAAAGCTCTTCTTCTAGTTAAGTGGAAATCCCATTACTGGTGGGCAACTAAAGGAGTGAAGTGACGCAGCCTCATGAGCTCGTTCCAAAGCAGCTCCACCGACCGTATGAGGATACAAATTCAAAGAATGAAGCCGGTCATTGGGAATAAACAGATTGTTTGCCTCCATCTTATGTTCGAAAAGAAAACGATAGATATCACTATAAAAGACCTTGGGTCGAATATCGGCCATACCACTCTTTCCCCTTCACAATAGAATTCGAACACGTCGATCATAATGCCAAAGCCTCTTTCCCCTGGCCGCTGGACGAAAAGTTACTGTGATGCAGCGACTTCTCCGCACGGCTACCTAGCCGAAACATCTCGCAACTACCTGCAGACGCGTGGAAGGCCGGAAGAGTAGGTATGGCCGTGGATGATGACTGCCACGGGAAAGCAGAACGATCCGGTCTTCGACATACTCGCTCCGTCCGGCATTTCGGGGTGCAGGACGAGATGCGTAAGGTGCAAGTCGAGTGAGGTAGAGCATCATTCAAAGGCTCGAAGGAGCTGAGCCCTTAGGGTGTAAATTGATAAGACCAAGAGGGACTCCAAAGGCAAGATTGAGAGATACAAGGCCAGGCTTGTCGCCAAGGGCTTCCAGGGTTCGACCGTCATCTTGGAGAGGTTCACTCTTACAAAAAAAGTTTCACTCGTCCAACCCTCTCTTCCTAACTTCCATACTCCTTTCACCTATCGGCGAATAACTATAGTTATGCCTTGAACAGCTTCTATTGGCCAACCAAGCCTTTCTGATGCACTTCACTTAACTTATTAGTGGCAGCTTTCTTATTGGCATTGGAGCCAATTTCATTACCACCTTCCCACTCTTCGCTGACACTCACCTGGAAGACTTCTACCCGAATTAAGCATTAAATTCTCATAAACCGATTCACTCTAATGACGAAAGTGAAGAAAAAGAAAAGAAAGGAAGAGACGATCCGATGTAGCATGCCCGAAGAGGAACAAACCCCTCAGACCACTATGGAAAAGATCGATTTCAAAGGCGATCTGATCAATTTCTCCTGCACGTCTAGCATCTTTATTTACTGGGATCACCAGAACTAAGCCCAGTGAGTCACCAACCATATTACTAAACAGTGACACCTACTTGCTTGTTCGAAACTAGATCTTGATCCTGCTCTTCCGGGAGAGAAAGTTCTTTTATCAAAGAATTTGTATTCTCGATGCTTTGAATAGCGTAGTTTCGTACCCAAGGGATTCGACTTTCCTTCTGATCTACGACCACCCTCTACTCATAGAACATAGGGAACTAAAAACCACAGAATGAAGGAATCCGCATGGAAGGCTCTCGACCTATTGGCGTGGCACTGCTTCCGGGAGTGGAGCCTGGCAAGAGCGAGTTCCGGGCCTCGTGGAAGAATAAAGTACTGTTGTGAGTAATGGGTCGGTGGGAATAGGACTAAATTTTCATGCATCAGAGCTCAAGTGCCATCCTCCAGGATGTTGAAGGAATAGGAATGCCTCTTGTTCACGACTCGGGCCGCTATCAATCACAGTTTGCTCCTATCGTAGATAAGAGAAAGGCAGCTTAAAGGAAAGCAGTTGTAAGAGAAAAATCCCCTACCCAGCATTAGACTTTATTACCGCCGTTGGACTAAAGGCATTGGGAAAGGGCCTACCCCTACTCGAAAGGAAGTGAAGTCGCCCAGTGAAGGAACCGAGGGAGAAGCTTTTTATAAGAAAAGTAAAAAGCTGGAATCCGAGAAGAGGATAGGCTAAGGCGCAGAGAGGTGCATTGATGCCCAGACTAAGCTCTTAAAAGATCATCAATTCCTAATGAAATAGATGTAGCAGTGGCTTGCTGGAAACCCAGAGTCTTTACTTGATCCAGGATGTGTGATGTATATGCCATTCCGAAGTGATCTATGAATCGACTCACAAAGATCAAAGTTCTCACATTATCTAAAGGTTGGTCTCGGTCCCCGTCTAAATCGACTTTCTCTACAAGATGGCTTTCTGGGTCAGACTCTTCTCCCTATGGTCGAAAATCATGCATTCCCTTCTATCAGCAGTGGCATCAAAGACTGCTCGTGAAAAGAAATATCATAAGAGAAGAAAGCAAGAGAAGCGGATGTTCGCCTACTTAGCCTACTCCTTCCTCCGGAACCCTGCTGTTCAATCACAAGCTTCAGCTACTCTTCCCGCCTCTCCTTATTGATAAAAAGTTGAAAAATAGACTTCCTACCGCTCTAAGCGAGAAGATAGAAACAAGGTTTTGCCAAGGAAAGCTCCTAAAAAAAAAATCAAATGATTGCCTGGTTTACTAGGATAGGACGCTACAGACAGGACCAATCCTAGTCGAAAACTCTTCTTGACAGATCCGATTGGGTGTTCATGGGTAGCCTGAGCACCGATCCTGATTGACGAATGCTTTCTTGCTGCTCTCCCTATTCTATTATATTATATAACCGTGTTTATTTACCACGCTGCTGTCCCGGAATAGGCGCATCCTTTGCTGCCATAGAGCGAAAGACAAGAGCACAGGACACTGGAAGAGATGGCTAAGCTCAACTTCAAAAGAAAGAAAGAAAATGAGAGGGAAGAAGAATGCAAGCAACGGATATAAGCGTCCTAGCGTAGCGCGAAAGGACTGTACGCGCAAAAAGACTATATAGAAATATGAAAGTGGAATGAAAGTAGTCTACACTGATAGATTATACAACATTTCCACAAGTAAAAGGTTGAGATGAGACGGCTAGTTAAGGTGGAAAGGAGCTCGTTCCCCTGTGTTCTGTCTGCCCAATCCAGTTTCAGAGGTTCAGAAGGCAAAGGCAACTCTCAGACCATTTGAGTTTACAGACTCTGCCGCTTAGGTGACTACGAGATAGAACATGGGTTCACCCGCTCAAAACTACAACTAGACTACCAGTAGAGGAACTTAACGGGCAAGAAGACCTACTAATAGGAAGAAAAGGTGCTATCCCAATAGGTTCCGGATCGGATCGAGCAATAAGTGAAGGAGCTTGACCAATCCCAATGAGGGAAGTAGCTGAAAGAGAAGCGGAAAGGGACATCTTGAACTCAGGGGGAAGGGACCTTAACGACAACAAAAGAAGTGCGTGCATTTCCCGATCAAAGAAGCCCTTGAACTCACCTTCATTCAACAAAGAAACTTCACGCATGAACTCTCCTCGGGATTGGACTCTTTCTGACAGCCCTTTTGCCAGCGTAGCGCATTGATTGGCACATTGAAGTGGGGAATGAAAAAGATAGGAAGTTTGAACAGCATCTTTGAAGCTACATCTCCTCATGTCTTCAACAGTCTTGAGTTCGGGTTAATGGACGGGAAATGAAAGGAGTGTCCAGCCGCTCGACCATAGAGCACTATGAAAGCCTTGTTTCCAGCAAACCAAGAAGCAATCAAGATTCCACGCCAACATACAGGGCTCATAATGCCTATCCTTTGACGTCTGGTTTCAGGAAAAGCGCAAATGAGAGGGCATTGGAGTATACAGAACCTGGGAATCCATCTTCGTTGATGGCTCTACCAGAGTGGGACCATTCTTCATGGCCCGCGGCCTACGTGACTAAGGGGGATCGTGACCCTCGCGTTTCGGGAATATACACCAAAGATGAGATCCTCGAGTTGGCGGCTGCCTGCCGAAAGAAGAAGAGGTCGCCAGGGGAGGGTAGTCAGACGGTCATTCAAGAGCTGGGTCGTTGAGGGCTTGGACTGATTTTGGGATACCATCATCTGAGTCCCTTCCACCCTGTGATTTGCCTTTACAGACGTTACCATTACTAAGAAAAGTAAGTAGGAATTCGTCCCAGATAAAATACTGATCTAGCTCTTTCGCATCGAGGAAAACCCGTATTTCAGATTAGGCGTCCTTTGCTCGAACGAAAGAGGGGGTCTTTGCCGAGTGGAAGGGACCGATGCTAGTAGTTAGATTCAATAAGTCTTAAATAGAAGCCAAATCCAGTTGAGAAGAGACAAGCACGGTGACATCCATCGAAGGGGTCTCGGTCGATAAGCGGCCCAGGTAAAGCCAGATTTCAAAGGTAGAATGTATTGGTGGCACATCGACCTAGAATAAGTGCTCTAGTCCACGATTCCTGGATTCCAACCTCTCAAAGGAAGTCCAGCTGGTTGGTAGTAGTCTCATTGAAGAAAGGGCAAGGAAGGAAGAAAGCAGAGATAGCTAGAAGTGAAGACCTAAAAAGAAAGAATTGAATTACTAAATGGAAAAGGGGTGCTTTAGATCGTGGTAGTAACCACTAGTGATAGGGAATAAATCGGGGAAGGACAAAGGTAAAAGAAGGATGTTCCATCAAATCAGGATGTTACTGAAAATGGGAAAGAGAGGGGGAGAAGGGAAAAGCGATTCCACAACGACTGCACTGTTGATTGAACAAGTCCGAATACTCACAAAGATCAAAGCCTTGGTAGAAATAGCGAGGCAACAACCACTTGTTAAAGCGGGAATATTCCTCCGGAATCTCGCAGAAAAATCGGCGAATCTAAAAAGAAATTCAGGGTGGATAGATATTGAAAGACTAAGAAAGAAAAGAGAACAAAAAAGTCCGCAAAAAGATATAATAGACTTTCATAAAAAGAAAAAAGAGACGAAAAACAGCCTAAAGCCAAGCGAACAAGAAAGCTACTAGTCCTACATATGATTCCCCTATTTCTACTTCCTATGATGGTTGCCTTTCTGTTGGGCGTCGGGGTTGGTTTAATATTTTTAAGCTGGCGATTATGCTCATTTCTTCGGGTGTGCCTCTTAGGGTTGGGGACAAGGCAATGCCAATTGAAGACGCCAGTTCAATAACAAGAGGAGCAGATCAATAGCCAAAGCGGACCAGAGATCATAGACCAGAGGCTAGTCGTAGATTAGTTTTCGGTAATCAGTGACGAATGCGGCGGTTCCTACTATATATTTTGGTTCCGGTTCAGGTTTCAGGTGCCCGTTGCTGGGCATCATACCTACTATATTAAGAAGCATAGACCAGTGACAAAAGACAACCATGAGAGGCGATTTCGGGACCAAAAAAGTGAGGTGACTAGGGAACAGACTAGTTTGTTTGGCTTTAATTTAAGAAGAAACCGATTCCTCAACAGAGGAGTAGAAGATGGGATCGGTAGAGATTGACCTAAAAGACATCTAGGATCAACTGAATAATGTGATGCTTGACATGGCTGTAATGAAATTGGAAGACTTTGAGCCGTTGTTTTGAATACTTTCGGGAGGATTCCCGCCATTCCCCCTTCCCATCCGAGTCGCGATCCCCCCTCACCGAACTAATTCATGTAGCGAATCCAAAAAATGATGATGTCAGCCTATTCTTGCTTTCCCGTCCCTTTATCTATTCCTTTGCATTGTCCGAGTCTTCTTTCATTCCCGCTAGTACCATTGAAGCAGGAGTCTTTTAAGCCAGGATAAAAAAAGATGAATGGTAATAGATCTAGGAATAAGGTGTTATGTATTCATGATCGCAGGGGAATAGGCTTCGAGGGAGAAAGCAAGATTGTCTACATCCAAGACCTTTTTGTTCATAAATAAGATGAAGCACAAAGCCGACACTACGTGCAACACTCCAGTTCGGGCAATGAATGAAATAAAAAAGTCTAGATCGCTACTCGAGTGTGCGGAGCGCTAGATTCTCAGTTTCAGTTCAATTCCCAGGGGAGGCAGAGGATAGTAACCTGCCTTGTTGTAGGAGAAACCGGTATACCTTGTCTACAGCTTGGCCTATAACCCTATAATCCCTGGTGCCCTGTCTTGTAGAATAAATTCACTGGAGCAGGCTAGAAGTTGAGATTGGAAGAGAAAGAGCAGGTAGGGGACCGGATCTCGTAGGTACTCTATAAGATAAGACTTTCCTTCTTCCTCTCTATTCTACTTAGACCCGGCTTTCACAGAGGGCTCCTATTGACCTCCTAGAGGAGAGCTTAGTATAGGGAATCCCATCTGTCGTGAAGAGGAGAGGAAGGCATCAAAAGAGCATGCGGGTCTCGTCACTACTCCACTTCCATCCAATATCCTAGTCTAAGTCGACTACTTACTCAAAAAAGATCCAATTTCTCCGTAATTGAGCGCTGCCTATACACTCGCTCGAACGAACCATCGCACTCTAGCGATTGTGAATCCCGTTTCCGGCTCGAAAAGATAGTTCACTCCACTTTCGAGAACATGAAGAGATTCGTTAGTTCAGCGCTGGAGTCAGTCAGCTCTTCACAAGTCCTGAGATTCTTAGAGATGGGATAATCGTAGGGGCCTTGAGACAGTTCGAAAGTCTACTGAGGGTGGGCAAGATAGCATTTCTAACCGAATGGCACTTTTAGATAAAAAACATAGGATAGCGCTATGCCTTACATAGTAGGAATGAACTTGCGGTACTACATGTTCACCGAGCCAAAGTGAGACCAAACTTTTCCTGCTCCGCTTTCATGGTAAGATCCTTACTCAAGCTAGCAACTGATACCATGGATATGCAGGTAGACGTCTTCTTCGATTACAGCTGGTATAAGGGTCAGTCATAGATTCTGTCCTATGATAACCAAGGTAAATAGGAGTGAAAACGAAAACGTACGTCTCTTCTTTACTGAGGCTACTGTCCCAGCAGTCACGAAGCCAGTTCCGGCTTGCTCCGCACAGGCTAGACAAGCCTTGCTCGAACGAAGAAAAGAATTTATCAGGAAGCAGAATGCTCTGTAATTGAGAAGATAAAGAGTTAGCGAAGGGAGAAAGTTTTGTCTCGGTTGCCTAAACTCTGCTCGGCACATCACCTGAGAGAGGAAAGGGGACTTTTTTGTATAGCCGAGTCTTATTCTGGAGAAAGCAAGGCTGCGCTTTGCATCAGTGAAAAAGTAAGAAATGCTCGAAGCAGCTGTTCACTACCCAAGATATTTTACGAGACTAATCGTTGAGGCCAATTCCTCTCATTCTTATCGAAGAGAGTATATCGGTCATTCAAGCCAAAAAGCTTACGTAGCAAAGCCCACTTTAGGGAGGCGACAACCCTCTTTCCCGGGGGCAGTGAGTGTGATCTCTCCGATCCATATTGAGGATCCTGTCCTTATCCGTCCTATTGACTAGGACATCTTAAGTTACAACAACCAAGGTCGTGAGAATACACTTCACATTCATGGAGCGCAATGGCTTAATTGACTTGCTATCATTTAGTCTGGGATTGATTTAAGAGATACCAATAACTGGGGAAGGGGAGCTCTAGCTATCAAATTATGTGTATTCGTTCGCCTCTATCTGAACGAGCTGAACCAGGAATCATCAAATCAAAAAAGAAAGCCTTGAGCAAAGCTAATCATGCCGATATTATTACTAGTCCTTTCCTTTCACCATACCTCCTATGTTCTGCTTTCGGAAATCAACGTCGTAGACCGGCTATCTGACAAAGGCAGACTGGATCGGGGGAGAGTCTTTACTCATATCTTATCGAAATCCAACTGACTCGTCTCAACGATCAAATGAAGTGGGTCAAGTCGTGCTTCCACTAAGCCCATGGGGAATGATCCATTTACCGCATCGACCCGAGTTGAGGACCGCCATTCCACCAACATCTTCTGCGACGAAGACCAGAACCGGATACTAAGTTAGTTAGTTACGAGTGGCAAGCCAGTCGACTTATATAGAAAGAGGCGCTTCCCGGCGTATCCTCGGGCAAGGAGCTACTCTTTCCCTCCACTCCGGGCTGGCAAGCTTATATCTCTCGATAGCTGCGTCGGATCTTTCCTGAAAGCTGAGGAAGGTGCGAAGCGAACTCATTTCGTCGCCAGGGTGCGTAAGCCTTCTGATCCTACTTTGTCGTTTAGATTATGCCAATAAAAAGAAGGGGAAAAGGCTCAACTGGCAGGATTGAACTCTCACTTAAGAGGGAAAAGTGATTGCCCGACGCATTGAAGATAATCGGCTGGCTTTTTGGAAGAGAAGTGGGCAATTCCGCTGTTAGACTTGCCGCTAAAATAAGCTCTTCCAGAAAGAGTAGCAGCTGCAAGAGCTCTCGTCAGCTTTTCGGGATTAACCTGATTGACCTAATCAACCCAATATAATATGTCCATTTTGAAAGAATAAGGGCTTAGAGCCTAAATATAACTAGTCAATCCATAACTGAAAGCAGGAATGGGAATTTATCCATGTCAACAGTAATCACTAGGTAAATGACTTACTTGAAGAGGCATATGAACCCGAATGGGATTGATGGACAGATTCCCTTGCAAAGAAGGTTGACTCTTCAACCAGTCTCCTATCCTTTGAAAAGGCCCGCAGCCCGGGGGTAATATATATATAGTAGCTAGGGATGAGACTTTCCTTTAATAGAAGGAATTTTCTCTTTCTCAGACAAGGAAGGGCTACGACGTTGAATTGAGCTCGGGCTTTCCAATGCCTAAGATAAAAAGAAGGACGGGAAAGGAAGACGCAGGGTAGAGCAAATCTTCCTCCTCTATGGGGGAAAGTCTATTCAAGTCCTTTCGTATGGACATTTCGTTTAGTACGAGATCGCTTCACACCTCTAGGTGATCTTGTAGACAACCTGTGTAACCTACTTTTTAAAGACTTTCTGAAGCTACTCAACGAAGGTGTAGCGCTTAGGTTTAGGTCGGCTAAGCAAATCAGTTTTGCGAAGTAGGACATCCTATCCCTTACGTGGTGAGGCACTAGTTTCAAAAGAATCTCCTATTGCTATTGGTTCTTATGTATGGGTTCTCTGTTATGGTATAAGTGCTGTAAGTAAGGTATGAACGATCGTATAGTGCTGCTGAACTCTAATCGTAATCCCTTACTGTTGGATTTCTTTCCTCTAAGCTTCTCTGAGGAGTGGCGGTTTTCGTTAATCTAAGAGGTTTTGTAGCAATCCCTTTGAGGGTGGTATCCATGCATGCATCCTACTGAGGTAAATTGGGAATCGCTGAAATGGGAAAGGTTCAGTCTTCCTCCGTAACGGTAGCAAGTGAAGCTACTGGAAAGCAAGTCGTGCCCCAGTCGAGAATCTCTCGAAGATCGTCTATTCCCCTAAGAGCGAGCTACTCCCGAGATGTCATGAGCTTGTTCGGATGTCGTCGAATCTTCTTATCATCTCAGCTGGTCATTCAATGGGAATTTCGAGATTAATATTAAGATTAAAGATACGCCCGAATCGAAAGAAAAGACCAGGGGCGAATGCCTTACTAATACAAAATGACTGTATCGAGCCGACAGATAGCAGATGTGGCATTTCTTTCTTCAAGAGCCACTTTTTCTGATTCACAAGCCCTTCTTTCAAAAGGCATTTGCGCAAGGCGCATTCTCGACATCCAATCTCTACCGATCCCATCTTCTACTCCTTTGGTCATACCGGTTCCTCCACCAATTGTTATCCCAGCTGAGCCTGCATTATTGCTCAACAACCTCAGTAGATTATGCGGATTAAGCCATTATATTATTAAGCCGTCTAAGTCAAGCCCATCTAAGCCAGCCAGTGATCCATAGACAGTAGATCCATAGGCCTTTGTCCGATCGCTTTCGTTCATCAGAAGTAGTGGACAAGGAGAGAACTCAGCATCGTGCATGCAATTCCATCGATCTGGTCAATTCATTTCCGCGAGACGCTGCTCCACTCTTTTGCTTTGGCATTGCCATACGAGGGAGATCGCTCAGTTACATGTCAAAAGATATGGAATTTCCGACCATCAGATTGAAATACGGGAATTTAGACCGAAAGATATCCATGTCAGTTAAAGATGTCTCTTTTTTGAGTGATAGGAACAGAGCTTCGGGCAAGCAGCTTAGCCAAGGCAGTAGCGTTGTAGTTCTTCCACGGCATGCTCATAGAAAGACTTCCTCCATGGCATAGCTCAGTCATTCAATCATGGTAGGGTCAGTCAGACAGGATTCTTCTCCTAAGCGCAGATGTAGCTCCCCATGGTGTGTTTATTCTAGCTCTGATTAGTTCCTCTTTCGAGGCTCCAACCATTTTCGGATCTCCTTAATTTCGAGCTTGGCGCTAGTCCCTTCAAAGGTGCCAGTGGGGATCTTTTCGGCCACTTCAAAAAATTCCTTGTAAACTTGTTTAGCCATCTCCTGTTTGAAGTGCTCCTTGAAAGGCTTTCTTGGTGTGCTCTCGGACCTACCGACCACCCTGATGCCTTCATTCCCATTTATGATCACTGGTAACGGCTCCCTTCGCCGCTCCTCTATTAGATCATATTCTAATTCCCGCACCCTTAGGGTCAATTTCTGCTCCTTAAGCTTGGTTTTCACAAATTCACCCGCAAGTGGCGTCACGAGTTGGATTCGAACCAACACCTCTGAGAAGCCTGATATTATATGCTCCCAGCGAACTACCTTTTCTTTTCTTTGATTCGAATCGCAACTTTGGTAACCCGGTTCGTCGCGCGACATAGAAAGAAAGACTAAGCGACTACATCCGGGGGATTTCTCATCTATCTTTTTTTCACTCACTTCTTTTTCGGCCAATTCTACCTTGCGAACTTGTTGATCATATAACTGAGAGGGAACGTGTCACATTAGAGGTGAACGATCAGAGATGTCCTATAATCACCACGATGAGGCTGGTCCCTCTTTTAGTAGACTCAGCTATGAATATGAATGAAGAAATGAATGCCGGCTCTTTCTGCTAACCCCAAGAAGTTTCTTAATGCTGATACTTTCTGTTTCGTCGAGCCCCATGTGGTCCTCCTTTGATTGTGGGTTCAATTGGATAAATCCGTCAAGTCAAGGTCAACGTACGTAGCAGCAAGGATGGTGCATCGCCTATTTCTCGTTCTCGCTCGGGAGCCAAAACGAACACGCCTGATACCTACTGTACTGGACCTTCGACCAGGCATTCTACCCTTGTCGAATCGGAACCAACCACCACTGCATTACGCTCGAACAGTTGAGCGGCCGCCGGCCGGCAACTTCCGTACACAGATATAGATTCATTCTTCGTACCTGATCCAACCTCACAACCCTTCGCGGGTTGGTCAGGAGTCAGTCTTGTTTGGTAAGACGGAATTGGACAAAGAAAAGAGAGTGCTCGACCGGAACAACGGCCAACAAAACAAAGACCGTAATTACATAGATAACCGCTCCTCCCCTTCTCCGTCTTTAATTTAAGGCGAACCGTATGGCGGCGAAAGACGACCTCACCTTCTCGTAGATGGTGTCAGTGAGAGCAACTTGAGTATCCCCCGTTGACCTTCTTTTGTAGATAGAATCCTCAATGAGTGGAAACAAGCAACCTTTCTTATCTTAGTAAGGTGCTTGTTGAGTAAGGCCGGCTTTAGAGCCCAAGCCCCTTATGATGAGAAGAAGAGGGGCCGCCCTCCGCACCAATCCTTATTTACTACTACATCTTTTTTAGGGTGTATAGCTCAGTTGGTAGAGCATTGGGCTTTTAACCTAATGGTCGCAGGTTCAAGTCCTGTTATACCCAACCCTACCTTACACTATACTACTACTGGATATCGATCTAAGATCAAACTTTCTTTTTGAAGTGGAACAAAGGATTGTGTGACAGATTGGCTTGGGATAAAGAGAAATTGCATGTACAATTTCTCTTATGTGAGCACTCTTCGTAAAGAGAGGCCTTTGCGGATTGAGGGATAGAGTTCTGGGAAAGGAAAGCAGTCATATCCACTGTGATAAGAAAGCATTTTGACTCCCTTCTGGCGGAAAGCCCTTTCCAGATGGAAGTCCATGGAACGTTCAGAATGTGGCTCGACTAAAAGGTTTACGGAGATGCGTACCCTTTAGGTAGGGGGATTTCTTTCTCTCCTCTTTAGAAAGATAGCTGCCAGACGAAGACAGAAGCAATAGCCTTCGATGTCACATCTGGAGAGCCATAGAAAGAAAATCACACTCGCTCTCTCTAGACCCAACCAAAGCCCTTCACTAAACTCAAAATAGCGTATATTAGAAAGCATCTCATGAGTTGAAAGACTCGTTACAACTTGTGCTTTTGTCAAGGGCAAGGGAAGAACCCGGCTCAAAGAACTCTCTTGAGGAAGTGACTTCGCTCACTGAAGACCAAGCAGCCATTCTGGATTAAAGGACACAAGCCTGCTATTCACTCGCTTTCAAGTTTCAAGTCGGATCTTGCCGGGTTTCACTCCTACATTAAAGAAAGAGAAGGGGGAAGGGCTTTCTTCAGTATTGATTGCAGAAGGGAGCTTACTCCGCTTAGAGAGACTGGAGGGAAAGTCCTCGCCCTAGATTCTGGGAGTAAAAAAGCATCCTACAATAGACGATAGATAGCAAGAAGAGAGGAACGAAGCCGAGTTCGAAGGGGAGATTGAGTTGAACCTAAATCCTTGGATTGCCCATGTGTCTATGAAGAGGAGCTTTTAAGCTAAGCCACTTCTTTCGCCTTTAGCTTGACAGTAGGAATGTGATCTTTGCAATTGAATCAGAGTAAGCTGTTCTCGAATAAGCTCTTAGCCTTGAGGTTTGGATTGCAGCAGCTCTAATAGTCGACGAAATTTTGAAGGTTTAAAAGAATTTCATCCAAGCCATAATAGCAAACGGAGATGAATTTAGTCACATTGATGGGAGAGCGAAAGTGGGAGTCCTCTCTCACTTAATCAATAATGCCCAGGGCCAAGCACTTAATGGCTAGCGGTCAAGCAAGCAGGGTCTTAGCGCCCGGCTAATCGAGTGCCTTTACTTTACTAGTTTTCTGCTTTCTTACTAGAGATGAATGTGAAACCTCTTCTGGTCTGGCATATGCCTCTTCTTATACATACTATTGGATTAACTGGCATAAATTCAATTTCCTTTCCTAAGTGACATCAAAATCCTGTTTCAGCTGATTCTCAAACATCTGTAACAACCAATTCTATCATAGTATTCAAGGTCTATTTTTCCTTTTTCCCAGTAGGTGCAGGCTTCATCGAAAAGCGACCAACCCGAGAGGGGTCTAGCTCTGTGCACTTAACGTGATCGATGGATCTGTCTTATCGGCGAAATAGACCTTAGATATCCTGTGAGTGGGAAGGAAAGCGAGACGGGAGTTAAACGACCAAGCCCGACGAAGGAGAGGGAGAAAAGTACCAGGATCTAATTCCCAGGTCTTTGTTGGATCTGTCAAAGCTTTCTTTTATTACGCGTGTACCTATCTCCAACTCCGATAGGGGAAAGAGATTGAAGATAGTTTGACATAACCAGGCACGGAATGGGAGAAGATGAGCTGTCTAAGACTCCTCAAAGCAAGGCGACTAGGACTACTAGCCGCATTCTAGCCGCATGGAGTAGCCAGAAGAGAAGACAGCAATCAAGCAAGAAAGAAGACAGGACAGACTTGATCAATCAAGTCAGCAAACTCAAAGCATGAGTTCTACCCTTTTCTCATGGAGTCCGGGATCAAAGGAGATGAGGGCAAGAAGGGAACTCAACACGGGGTTACCCGTTCTCAGAGCTTTGACTAGCAGTCATGGTAGACGAGAAGAAAGGAACTGACCTACTTCAACTGCACTGTGGGAAAGACATACTTTATTCCTGTGGCCAGGTCGGGTTACGGGTTAGGCAAGGAATCAGAGCGGCTGAACGAAAACCGGCATAGAATGGAATTGATTGGTTCGCCACTTCTGAAGAAGCGAAGGAGGAGGGCGCAAGGATCAACCAGCTCTTCTTATTACGATTACGTGAGTTTTGACTATCGGGATTTGGCTCATTCAATGCCATCAACCAAGGAAGTTTTTCGACTTCAGGGAGCTCAGTTGAGTGGAAGCCGCCAAAGGAGAAGAATGCCTTTGAAAGGAAGGAGCGGTCGAACGGAAGCCTCTTGCATGAGAAATGCTAGCCTTCGTAATGCCTCGAGAAGGAATGGCTTCGCTTCGATCAAATTAAGTCTCTGGACTTCGACTATGTCTTTATGTAGTAAAGAAAGCAGTTGTGAGGCGGGCTAAGATTCCATTCGAAGTAACGTAACAAGATTCTATGTTGCACCATCTTCAACTCTTCCCGGGATCCGGGGTTTTTGAGAAAAGGTCCCATCCTTCAATATCATGATTGGGTCGACCAGGCCAGATCATGAGTGAATAGAAAATCGAAAACGTACATAGCTGTTCCAGCTGAAATACTTGGAATAATTATACCACTTCTACTAGGAGTAGCCTTTTTAGTGCTAGCTGAACGTAAAGTAATGGCTTTTGTGCAACGTCGAAAGGGTCCTGATGTAGTGGGATCGTTCGGATTGTTACAACCTCTAGCAGATGGTTTGAAATTGATTCTAAAAGAACCTATTTCACCAAGTAGTGCTAATTTATCCCTTTTTAGAATAGCTCCAGTGGCTACATTTATGTTAAGTCTGGTCGCTCGGGCCGTTGTACCTTTTGATTATGGTATGGTATTGTCAGATCCGAACATAGGGCTACTTTATTTGTTTGCCATATCTTCGCTAGGTGTTTATGGAATTATTATAGCAGGTCGGTCTAGTAATTAGGGGGCGGCCGTTCGGTCGCCTATGATACTAGGACCAATAGGTAAAAATGGGTTTGTGCCGCAGGTGTTGAACGATCTACTCTACACAGGTGTGGGCTTACAAGGGCTAGGGCTCATAAACCCTTTCCATTCATCAATAGGGCCCTGGTCGGTCACTTTTCCGGGCCGGGATCGATAAGTGGAAGTCATAAAAAAGAGATGTTTATCTTCGCACCTCAGATCAAATCAAGAGGCAATGTAATTGTCAAGCTGGCATATATATAAGAACAATTATATATATAATATAAGGATATAAAAAAAGATTCGCTGTCCCGGCTGTTCTTCTTTGTCAACGCTACTAAGGATCTTTAGGTTCGCCTACTTGACTTATGAAAGATAATGAAAAAAAGGCTTTTTCAAAAAGGAAAAGGCTATACTATACAATACATTAGTAGAAGTAAGCGTTAGCTTAGCCTACCCTACTAATGTATTGTATAGTAGGGTGTAGTATAATAGGCGAGCAAGTTAGCGAGCTTAGGCTAATAGATAAGAGAGCGTCGGTGCGTAGCCTTCATTCTACTACGCTACGCAAAGGTTACGAAGTCACTTAGCTCGACGTTAGGAGAGTCAAGGGGCCATACCTACATAGAAGAACCGCTGTTCGCTGCCTTTAGAAGGTCTAACCTTTCGCTCCCCTACTGAAAAGGGTCATTTGAGCTTCGCCCCACTGATAGACTACTTAAGATTCAATTCAAAAGGCCCTACTTAGTTTCGAAAGCCTTTGTCATTGTCAGTCAACTAAGTAGGGCCTGAGGCCCCCTACGAATCCGTAAATCTGAAGAGCATGCCGCAACAAAAGGATGGTCCCCTATGCATTCTTTCCGGAAGGGAAAAAAGAGAGGACCCCCCCATCATGGTGAACCTCTCCTTGTGATCGGGATGAGGTAAATGCCTCCCAGCCGGGGGGCGGATCGAATCGGAGTTTCCTTAGGTATCCACCGACCTACAGTTATCCTTAAACTTCCGTGCTTGGTGGAGAAGAAGCGAACAAAGGTACGCTCGCTTGCTGTCTTGTTCTCTGCCTAAACTGGGATCGCTCGCCAGCTAGGTCAGATTGGAGCAACATTTATTGAGAACATATTACCCATCTTGGGGGACAAGGGGCGGAACGACCTCTCGATCTACTTACTGCAGCCCAGGAATAAAAACGTCCGTCTAGGCCTTCCCTGTTGCTCCGATCCCCCCTACGCCTAGGACGTTGTCTGGGCCAAGAGCCATAGTTAGTTGCTGTTTTCATTTGGTTGTTTTTTTCTCGTTGTTGATACCGGCAAGACCCAGCCAGATGATGTCTACTGGTTGGTAGTGAGAGGACTCTTAGTATCTGCATACCCCAAAGAAAAGGGGACGCTGATTAAAAAACAATCATTTGATTTTCTTTCTTGCTCTCCCTTATAAGCAGGAAAGGAGTCTATCTATCTGCCTAGCTTTGGTAGATTTCCCCCAACGCAATCCACAGAAATTCCACGAATCCCTTGGTGGATAAGTCCGACGACTCAGCAGCAGTTCGGAATTGACTTTCTCGTCTGGTGGATCTGATATAGAGTGAGGGGGCAATACATACCAAAAGGTACCATAAAAGAACTGTGGGCGAGGAAAACACGAACCACAGAGACTCTCAAGCAAAGGAAGAGGGATAGAATAGCGCAACCGCCTTCTGGAGTTCGTCCATAAAGAGATATCCGAGCGATAAGGAAACCTTTGACAGAACAATAAAAAAGAAGAATTTAGCAAAAAAAATGGATCCGTACTCTCTTCGGGACTTTCTTAACAAGAACAAAAAAGATGTAGGAAAATCGCCTCCAAATGAGCCGATCTAAAGCAAGTTCCTTAGTTTCAGGAAGTCGAGCGGGAGTGACTAGCCTTCCTTCAAAGGCCAGATGGGTGCCTTCTGTATCTCGAAAGAGATTAGTAAGGCAAGGTTCGTAGCGCTTACCATTCTTTGTGATTGCTTATTCGAAGTAGGCCGACTTTCAAAAAAGTGGCTAAACCATCCGGCAAAGAGAAGAAACAAGCCCTTCAAATTCGCGAAAAGAGCGTATTCTTTCCCAAGGGCATTCTCGGCATCTTCACTAGTCGCCTTTCTTGCTATCATTATAGCTTTCTACTAAGGTAATTTATAGCTGACTCTTTAGAGTAAGGAAAGAGACAAGAACTCGAAAGGCGAATGCCTATTATATTAGAGTATAGCACAAGCCTTTACTCAGTCAGTAGGTGGGAAGTTGTTCTTTCAGTCTTATCCGAGCTGGGGCGTCGCATCAAAGAACCTTTCTTTTTTCTGTAGAATTTTCAGCTGTTGGCAAGGAGCTACTCTTTCCCTCCACTCCGGGCTGGCAAGCTTATATCTCTCGATAGCTGCGTCGGATCTTTCCTGAAAGCTGAGGAAGGTGCGAAGCGAACTCATTTCGTCGCCAGGGTGCGTAAGCCTTCTGATCCTACTTTGTCGTTTAGATTATGCCAATAAAAAGAAGGGGAAAAGGCTCAACTGGCAGGATTGAACTCTCACTTAAGAGGGAAAAGTGATTGCCCGACGCATTGAAGATAATCGGCTGGCTTTTTGGAAGAGAAGTGGGCAATTCCGCTGTTAGACTTGCCGCTAAAATAAGCTCTTCCAGAAAGAGTAGCAGCTGCAAGAGCTCTCGTCAGCTTTTCGGGATTAACCTGATTGACCTAATCAACCCAATATAATATGTCCATTTTGAAAGAATAAGGGCTTAGAGCCTAAATATAACTAGTCAATCCATAACTGAAAGCAGGAATGGGAATTTATCCATGTCAACAGTAATCACTAGGTAAATGACTTACTTGAAGAGGCATATGAACCCGAATGGGATTGATGGACAGATTCCCTTGCAAAGAAGGTTGACTCTTCAACCAGTCTCCTATCCTTTGAAAAGGCCCGCAGCCCGGGGGTAATATATATATAGTAGCTAGGGATGAGACTTTCCTTTAATAGAAGGAATTTTCTCTTTCTCAGACAAGGAAGGGCTACGACGTTGAATTGAGCTCGGGCTTTCCAATGCCTAAGATAAAAAGAAGGACGGGAAAGGAAGACGCAGGGTAGAGCAAATCTTCCTCCTCTATGGGGGAAAGTCTATTCAAGTCCTTTCGTATGGACATTTCGTTTAGTACGAGATCGCTTCACACCTCTAGGTGATCTTGTAGACAACCTGTGTAACCTACTTTTTAAAGACTTTCTGAAGCTACTCAACGAAGGTGTAGCGCTTAGGTTTAGGTCGGCTAAGCAAATCAGTTTTGCGAAGTAGGACATCCTATCCCTTACGTGGTGAGGCACTAGTTTCAAAAGAATCTCCTATTGCTATTGGTTCTTATGTATGGGTTCTCTGTTATGGTATAAGTGCTGTAAGTAAGGTATGAACGATCGTATAGTGCTGCTGAACTCTAATCGTAATCCCTTACTGTTGGATTTCTTTCCTCTAAGCTTCTCTGAGGAGTGGCGGTTTTCGTTAATCTAAGAGGTTTTGTAGCAATCCCTTTGAGGGTGGTATCCATGCATGCAATCAAAAAGCTTATTGATTTGATTGAAGGGAACTAATACTATTTATTAGCTTAGCTAGCGTTCCGGGAGAATCTAGTCATTTAGTCAGTTCATAACAATCTCTGTAAAGCAAGGGGCAAAGCTTCTACGACAGCTTCTCCCTCATGTCATGTAGTCGTCGGCCTTCCCAAGCCCCCCTTCGTCGCTTCTGGCTAAGCATCTTTCGGCGGAGGAAAGGAGGCGACTAGTCGCTTCTGGCGAAGCTGCGAGCCTACCCTTCTCGAGCCTACTTAAATAGCTTACGCTTACTCAGCCTAGTCTACTAAAAGAGGGCTACAGCAAGCAACTTCGTTGCCTTTGTTTGTTGTGGGTCGCGCCTCGCCTGAATGAATGAAATGAGTGGAGATCTTCCTTCCTCCTTGAAAATAACCAAGAACTTCGTTGGTACTAGTGGCGAAGAAAAATTAGACCAAAAAAAACAACTCGGAACCTAAAGAGAGTTCAGTCTACAAGAAGCTGGCAGAGCTTTAGCCATTGGACTACATCCATCTATCCTACCTAAACAGTAAGCCTTTTCTTGTTCGTTCTTCGAATGACGCTAGTGGAGACAAATTCCTTCCGGCTAATGAAGATACTACTCCAGTCTTCCCATTCATTCACAGTGGATCCTTCCTTTTCCCTAAGAATTGAACGAACCAAGTTCACCTATACGAGAGTGAGGAATAAAAACCTACAATCAACTTCCCACTTTTGATGTCCCACGATTCTGCTAGTTTAGAAACTAAAGAGAAAAACAGGGGTCGCTAGGTCAGAAAAGCGATAACTCAAAATTCTCCCCAAGTAGGATTTGAACCTACGACCAGTCAGTTAACAGCCGACCGCTCTACCACTGAGCTACTGAGGAAGAACTCCCTTAAGGAAGCCGACTCTCGTTCTTTGGCCCAACCTATGACCGGGTTCGTCACTCTTTTTTTTTTCACATACACCGGGAAAAAAGGTTACGATAGCAAGCCCCTCTCCGGCCGGAGAGCCTCCAGGACAAGGGGGCGGCGGTCAACCATCCACTCTCGAGATTCATATTGATCAATCGATCTCCGCGTCCTGCCAGTTCGCTAAGTAGACTCACTCTACCGAGGGGCAACAAAGACTTGAACTATTCCTGCCAAAAACAAGGGACCTCCCTCTCATCCTAGGAGTTAGCAGGTATGATAGAGTCCCCTCTCTGTTTGTCTCTCTGAGTTTCTACTACTAAGTAGCACTTCTGCTATTCAATCATAGAATCGATTCCGATCAAGCTGAAAAAGCCCTATATTATTAGTAAGCTAGTGCCCTGCAATCTTTCTAAAGCACTAACGCCCTACTATAGTATAGTAAGGGGCCCTTTCTTGCTCGTTGGCGCTTTAGAAAGATTGCAGCTAGGGCGCCCCCTTCTTTCTCAAAGTCAAGTTTCGCGCTTCTTAGTCAAGCTTTGAAGCCCCTACCTTTCTTTATTTATTGGGATATTTGAGGAAGCGCAGGCGCAAGGCCCCCTAAGGGCTTTGTTTTTCCCCAACCTATACAAGGTGCTGGTCTCGATCTCGCTTGGTGGTGCCCCTCTCGATGATTGTTGACTCAACATTGATTTCGTGCTTGAGTTGGAGGTCCCTCCCCCTATCCATCGAGTCAAGTAATTCGCTATCGGAAATTTTTCCGCCGCGTATCTCATGCCATGCTTCTTCTTTCTCCGAATCGGTTCCTAGTGTCAGTCAATCAAGATTCGCCATCAAGAGAGGGCCTTGACTTTAGTTAGGCCGGTCTCGTCATTCACGAAATTCCCCCGTCCATCGATCAATCACGCGAGTACGCATCCAGTCAGCACATAGCGAACGAAAAAAGCGTTCATCCTGGTATCTTATACCAGCCTCAAAAAAAATGTCTATTACCCTACGGTCAAAGTCTCCACGGCGTTTTCACGCCCCTCTCAGTAGAGGGGCACCATGTTGATAGGAATTGGAAAAGACCTTCTTGTACACGTCCTCGAGGGCAGCATTCATGGTCATCGTTATCGGGTCTTCGAATTGAGTTGGAAGACGAATTAGATCTTGGGGCCATGTAGCGTTTTGGACAGCTTCCCTTGTTAAGGAGTATAGTGTATTAAGCATGGGATTCACCACTCCTATATATCGATTGTCTACCTTGCCCATGACCGGCACCCTTTTTCCTTCCTCACCCTTGACTTTCTCTTTCTGGGACTCTCTATTTTCGCTTTCGACTAATTCTGTTCGGGAACCAGTCTTCCACGCCACCTGTGGTTTCCGGGCATGGTCGTTCTGCTTGGGACATGTCTGCTACGTCTCCAGCGTTCTCGGGCCCTCGCCCCGAAGCAAGGCAAAAATCGAGCATCGAAGTGAGCATATAAGAAGAAGTTCAAAAAAACTAAGTTAATGGGCGACCACCTTCAACATGAATTACTTTCTGGAAGCAGGCTATGCCGCCACACCTCCCCTGTGAAAGAGGGCTACGCAGCTGATTCGGTTAATCACATGTCAGAACAAGCGCTAGGGATCTCTTTTTCATTACCAAGACGGAGGCTTCGGGTCACCCTTTTTCTTCTTTCTTTGCTCTTCGGAGTCTAATAAATCATTTTTTTATTTAATGGAAATGGTCCATGTCTGCTTCTTCTTCTGTACGGCCATATGACAAGTCATTTGCGAACATTTCGGGAACCTTTGGTGGTCTTTTTGTTCCAAACATCGCATCCTGCTGGTTTCTTTTTAAAAGAGCTAGCTCATTAGCTATCTGTGAGTGGGGCTTGTTGAAAGCTGGGATAGACGGCGTACGTGTACCATATTGAATTTCCTACGAGACGGACTAAGGGACTATGGGGAAGAATCGGAATGAGGGATGGGTAATCAGTCTCGATAAGTCAGTTTGGATAATCGGCTGTCATAGGATGGTCTACAATCAGGGCCGGATCGGGGCCTTAGATCCTATTTCCTGGTTAACCAAGCAAGGGAAGCTCATCTCGAACACAAGGAAGATGAAAACTTAGATATATATCGTATTAATATGATTAATCATGCCCAGCTAAAGAACAAGGAAGCGCTTAGCTTACTTTTGTGGTAAGTCAGATCAGACCCGCCCTATTGATAGACTGCCGATACAGGACGAGAGCCCGACCGATTGAGACAGGGCAGATGCAACCTAATTCTTTGAGTTAGGGTTGAATGTCTACTTCCAGGTCTTCTCACAGAGATGCACAGAGGAAGAGAACGAACTGAATATATAACTCAGTGAGTGCTTTCGAAGAAAGGGGAAAATGAAATAGGAACAACCGCGCTGGTCGTAATAGATCGACTTTCATGCTCCAGTATGAAAGTTCCATTTCAGGGAAGGACGACGTACCATGATACTTTCTGTTTTGTCGAGCCCTGCTTTGGTCTCTGGTTTGATGGTTGCACGTGCTAAGAATCCGGTACATTCCGTTTTGTTTTCCATCCTAGTCTTTCGCAATACTTCAGGGTTACTTATTTTGTTAGGTCTCGACTTCTCCGCTATGATCTTCCCAGTAGTTCATATAGGAGCTATAGCCGTTTCATTCCTATTCGTTGTTATGATGTTCCATATTCAAATAGCGGAGATTCACGAAGAAGTCTTGCGCTATTTACCAGTGAGTGCTATTATTGGACTGATCTTTTGGTGGGAAATGTTCTTCATTTTAGATAATGAAAGCATTCCATTACTACCAACCCAAAGAAAGACGACCTCTCTGAGATATACGGTTTATGCCGGAAAAGTACAAAGTTGGACTAATTTGGAAACATTGGGAAATTTACTTTATACCTACTATTTCGTCTGGTTTTTGGTTCCTAGTCTTATTTTATTAGTAGCCATGATTGGGGCTATAGTACTGACTATGCATAGGACTACTAAGGTGAAAAGACAGGATATATTTCGACGAAATGCTATTTCTTTTAGGAGGACTATAATGAGGAGGACGACAGACCCACTCACGATAGAGAAAATGGGAATTCGCTGGGCCTCTCTCTTATTCCCAGGGGTGCCGGTTCGAATCCGGCTCGTGACGGAAGCCTATCATTTAGAAACCCGCATGGCAAATTCAGTTGTGCGATAGCTCCCATTCGTTATTGTTCTAAGTTTTGCCCGAATAGAGAACGACTCGCACGATAGACGACCCTTTGAGGAGTACTTGGGCATCGAAATCCGACATAGCCATAGACCGAGCTATCAAGTGGTTTTCCTAGTGAGCAGACTCTCTTTGAAGCTCATTGAGAACAAGAGATTGCCTCAGACTTTCCATTCTCTTTCTTTATCTAAATTCCCTCCCCTCGCCCTCAGAAGAAGAGAGCTATGCCAAAACCAAAGGTGCCTACCGCTAGTGCAACTCTTTCTATTCATAGAAATCTTCCTCTCCGGCGGAAGGTGAACTTAGGGATGACTCAGCTGGCTTTAACTATCTTGTGGGAATATGTTAGGAAGGAAGAAAATCTCTCCTCGAAGAGTTGATGGATGGGCAACATACTGCCCCACGATTTCTTTGCCGTATCCCCGTCATCTTCGCTCACATTGATAAGAGCATTATCTAACGTAAGGAGATCTGTATTCACAGGTTCAGATTGCTGAGATCTCAAGCCAGTCAGCGTCTTGCTGCTTTCTCTCGAGAGCGTTATTTGCTTTATTAAAAGAGATATAACAACTCTTTCTCTAAAGCAAGCTCAGTGACCTAGAAAAGGGCAGACAGCATGGAATGAAAGAGCTTTACTTACCGAAGTTTTCTAGATGAATTGAATCATTCCCGAGGTTCTTCTTTCTTCACTAGGAAAGATCTATATCTTACTTGAATAGAAGATATAAGTGACCCACACTTGGGCGACTAGGGAATAAGAATCTCTTTTTCCAACAAACCCGTGCTGTGAGGAAAGCCGCTTGAAAGCAGATTGCTACTGAATTTACTGACTTGCTTGCATGGGTCAGACTTCAGGGAATAATCTTCTGAAGCGCCAAAAAGCCGTGGCACCCTTCGCCCAAGGCTTGAATCAGGAGATTCTTTGCAAGCCTTTTCCCCTATAGAAGATCTCCCTTTTCGAAATGCTGAAAGTTCACTTCACCCAACTCTATACCGAGCTCTTTCTTCCCTGTTTCAGGATCGCTCAGAACAACTGGCTTCTTCACTCGTTGATTCCCAGATCTAAAATGCAAACCGGCTGCTTCGCGCATCTCTAGCCAAAGACCGGCATTCAAGACTTGAAACCTTCACTTCAGCGGTTGTGTGCCCGAAGGTGCCTTTCTTTCCTTCTTGCCCGAGTTAAGCTCACTTGAGCAGTTTCGCGTTTCCTGGTTCGCTTTCTACCTTTGTTTTCGTATTAGAATCTCCTATTTCAACCGTAGTTCATGCCAAGCAAGCTTCATGCTGAAACTATCTTCCGAAGAATGTCCTGCTTCTTCCCCTCTACTGTGCGGGTGCTAAGACTAGTTTTTTAATTTTGAGCGTGGTCATAGGTTTCCAGTTTTCGGAGCTCACTTTGCAGGTCAGAACTATCAGAAGACGAAAGAGAACTTATTCAGACGAATAGTGTGCCGGTGCCCCCAAAAACCCTACATTAGCAGTTCGGGTGGAATCAGACATAAACCAAGTCCAAGAAGACCGAGGAGTCCTTAGCACAAGCACTAAGTAAGAAAGCTACCTTGGGGAGAAGGTAGCGCACTAATTCTATCCTCCTTTCCTGCTACTAGGGAAGCGCGTGCTACTGCTACTACTTTTTCACCTGCTCCGACAGGATTCCTAAGGAAAGCGCTTCTGAGTCGGTCTTGGCATAATTCCGTTGTAAGAAGTCCCCCGGTTCTGGACTAAACAAGTATAGCCAAAAAGAATTCCCTTCGTAAATCGAAATAGAGTGATGTGAAATCTTATTTCGTAGTAACTGCAACCTGACTACTATTCTTTTCAATTTGTTACGTGCCTTATATCGCCGTTGGACATTATGTGATGTTATCGACTGGAGTCAAAGTTGCGGTTTATCTATCGATCTCTCATATGGCTTCAAAGACGGAGTGAAATTAATCACAGGCCCTAAGCCGCCTGGGGTTTGAGCAGCGGCGAAGGAGATCTTGTCAAGCGCACTGGGTATATTTATATTATGGAAAGACCCACTTCCACTTTCCTACCGTACTACACGAGGGGAGGAAACTTAATAAATAGCGTAGATAAGGAAGTGGCTATTCTTTTTCATGACTCCGCTCGAATAAGCTCTTTGCGCAAGAAAGGGATATGAGATAGATGCCAACAATCGGTATAAAAAGATAGAGTAACTTACTGGTACCCCTGTCACTCTTGTTTTGATGCTTAAATCAAGGCCTTTCGAAAAAAGAAAGAGGTCTGATGTGTCACTAGCCGAGTTAGAGGGCTAACCTAACCTTCAATAGACTCTTTCTGCAAGAAAATGACATAATTCTAATAAGGAAAATGCATCGAATGCTCTTGTTACAGAATAGGCAGCTGTGAGGGGAGGTTTGGATTGGACAATAAGGGCTTTGCGCCTTAGACGGTCTTTCTCTTTGTGCAAATCCAGTGTCGAAGGCCCAGTGAATCAAGCAATTGAATCCGAATCGGTGAGAATCTGCTCCACATTCATGCCCAGAATCGTTAGCTACTGGCTTGACCGAAGGTTGAGCTACTTGTTTACTTACTTGCTCGTTAGAGGGGGAGGCTAAAGCAGTCTCTGCACTGGGATTAGCTCTATTATGGGAGTTTACTTGCTTGAAAAGGTGCGAACGAAGAGAGCTAGTCAGGAGTAGAACAGAAGCATGAGTTGAGTGGTGAGCAGGGTAGCGAAACTAGGAACGGAGTTGGCTTGTTAGAGCTAGGCTGTTGAGTTAAAGTAAGCGAGCTAGTCATACGAGCCAGTGAGTCTGCTAACTTGTTATAGATTTATTGGGCACGTGCCTCCTTCCTTCTTCTTTGAAGCTTTTGAGCAGGTCGATCGCGAGCTCTTGATATGGTAAACTGGAGTGAAACGTTAGAGACTGAGGGCTAAAGATGTCGTTGGAACGCTTTAACAAGGCCGTTACGGAGATTGGATGCTGGCATGACGACTGGGTGAAAGGCTTCTGGGTCAAGTTGAATATCTGTAGGGGCTTTCGCCTAAAAGGATCCTCAATCACGGAGTCTATTCTGGAGCTTCCCAAAAGTTCTATCTGACTTGAATGCGGGAAGATATGTATGAATCACCCCCATTTGTACGGTCTTTCAGAAGAGTGTTCTTAAAAGGCGTGGAAACTGAAACCGCTGTTGTCTGGTGGAATAAGTCGAGTCGGGGAATCGGTTGTTTCGGAAAATCCGTTGTTCGGGGAATCCTTTTTCCTTTCAAAATTGAACTAGTCTTTCGCCTACGTTCGATTGCCTATCTTTTGCAACCTTGAGATCTTCAAATAGTCCCCTCAGATTTGAATACGATCTAATAAGAGTATCCTTCAGGGCGGGATCTTCGAGGGCATCATACCATTCGTCGTACTTCATGACTTTCTCTATAACAACGGCTCCTCCTGTCTTTTCTGGCTTGTATGGAATAGCTTGGTCTTTCGCACTTGCATCTCCAATTTCCAATATCTGCTTAAGGCTGTATTCGCCCCATACCACTTTCTTTTTTCCATTTTAGGTATATATCGGCAGATTCTTCCCCATCCTTTGTGTACTTTGACATTTATCTGCCTCCCCTCAAACTCGGGGAAGAGCGCCCTTATTTGTTTAAAGCACTTATATCTGGACGCATTCTCATTTAAGACACCTACATGATAGTGGTACCCTCCGTCTTAATGTCTCTCCGTTGCTACTACTATAGACCTACACGTAAATAGCTTCATGATTCTGTCTCGCGCTTGAGTTTGCGATACTGGTCTTCGCTCAGCATGTGCCAGTCTTATTAGTAAGAATTGTCTCAAGGATTCTAGTTGGACACACATTCTAGTCTAGTTTGCTCGTTCTTCCTTCTTCTTGAGAAGGGGCATACCATAAAAAAAGAAAGACAAAAACCCAGTGCGTTTTGTATAGATCGAGACTTGTAGCTTGATTCTTTACTCATTCCATACTGGGAATAATTGCAGGAAAT